ACCCTGTAAGGGGATGAGATGAGTTTTGGAGGGTAACTAGGAGTTCACCTGGTTGACAAGGCAGGGAAGGGCATTCCACACAGAGGGAACAGCATAAGCAAATGTCCTCATCCTTTGTTCTCCTGCACTTTCCTACTGGCAATAAGCCACCTTCCATCTGTGGCAATGCAGCTCACACTTCCTGTAGGGCCTTGGCCAAGTCATTTCTCCATTCTGAGTCTCAGTCTCATTATCTGTACAATAGGAATAATGAATAATGATGATGACAATAACAACAATAAAGATGTTTGGAAAGAGTCTTGGCTGGGCCAGATCTGAGATTCTGATATGTAGCACTAGGTGACTCCTCTCCTGAGTCACCTGGCACTCCCTGTTTTTTTGGGGAGACCAAGGCCACATCTAGTCCACTATTGGGCTTTAGACACAGGTAGACATATCTGACAAGGGGGTGGGGTGTCCTTAGAGCCAGATCACAGCGTCCTAGAGAGAGAAGGAGGCTGTGCTTGGAGCTGGTGGCCTGGAGTGAAGGCAGAGAGCATGGTTCTAGGCCCACCGTTCTGACCTGACCTCCCACCCACAGGGGGCAGATAGGAACCCCCTGGGAGGGGCTCAGCCAGGGCTCTTCGCCACCTCTGCACCCAGAGGTGGCTCCTCAATGAAGCACAGCCTCAGCTCAGCTGTGGACTTGATAACAACTCCCAGGGGCTCCTCCACACCCTGGGGACTCCCAAACATACTTCCCAGTAACTTGGATGTGACTCTCAGTCCCCAGAGAGGCTCCCTGAGCACCTCTCAGGCAGCAGACCTCGTAGCCGCCCTTCCCTTCCTTCTTCTGGAGCCAGCATTGATTGCTTCACTATATGGTGACCAAAGGTTACATTTGAAGCAGATATTTTTTCTGATTCCCAGTCTTTTTCCCCCAAAATAGAATCTCATCCTTCTCTCGGGGCTGAGAGGTTTCAGCAGCTCACTCCTGCCTTCAGAGTCCCTCCAGAGACAGACTGTAGCTCTGCACTTTCCCAGCGTTCACATTCTGTCAGGAGTCACTCCTTCCACAAAATTCCCCCCAACTCTTTCTTTTACTTTTCTTTTTTAGTAAACTTTCATGTTGAAGCATAACATATATACAAAAAAGTACACAAATCCTAAGTATATAGCTGGATTAATTTTCACAAATGAACACACCAGTATGTCACCAGCACCTGAATAAAAAAACAGAATATTATTAGCCCCTGGAGCCAGCCTCCTCATGCTCTTTCCAGTCACTACCCACCGAAGGTAACTGCTGTCTTGACTCCCAATGGAATAGGTTAGTTTTGCCTGCTAAATAAAATCATACAGTATATGATGCAATGAGATGGAATATACACGGAATTATACAGTATATACTCTTTCTTGTCAGGCTACTTTTACTCAGCGTTATGTCTGTGAGATGCAGCCAAGCTGTTGTGTGTAGTTGTAGATCATTCAATCTCATTGTTGCAGAGTATTTCATTGTGTGAATAATACACAACATTCTCCATTCTCCTAACACGCATTTGGGTAGTTTCCATTTTGGGGCCATTATGAATAGTGTTGATAGGAACTTTCTAGCACATGTCTTTTGGTGAACATATGGACACATTTCATTCAGTATATCTCTACCTAGTGGAGTTAGTGGAGTGACGTGGAATTGCTGAGTCATAGTGGCATAGTTTTGCCATTTGAGTAGATAATGCCAAGCAGTTTTCCAAAGTGATTGGACCAATTTACACTCCCACCAGCAATGCATGAGGGTTCTGGTTGATCCAAATCCTCAGCAAAATACTGGTATTGTATCTTTTTCATATTAGCTTTCCCCTTTTCTTAAACAGCTTTATTGAGATACCATTCACATACCATACACTTCACCTATTTAAAGTGTACAATTAAATAGTTTTTAGTATATTCACAATATGTACAACCATCCCCACAGTCAATTTTAGGACATTTTTGTCACCGCAGAAAGAAACCCCATACACTTTAGCTATCACTTCTCTGCCCTACCCTAAGAAACCACTAATCTACTTTCTGTCTTGGTTGGTTTCCCTATTCTGGACATTTTAAGGAATCATGTGATATGTAGTCTTTTGTGAATGGCTTCTTTCACTTAGCATAATTATTTCAAGGTTCATCCACGTTGTAGCATGTATCAGTACTTCGTTTCTTTTGGCCAAATAATATTCCATTATACAGATATACCACATTTTGTTTATCCATTCATCATCAAGTGATGGACATTTGGGTTTTTTCTACCTTGTAGCTGTTATGAATAGCGCTGCCATAAACTTCTGTGTACAAGTTTTTGTGTGAATATTTGTTTTCATCTCTCTTGGATAGATACATACCTAGGAGTGGAATTGCTGGGTTATATGGCAACTCTTATGTTTAATCATTTGAGGAACTGTCAGACTGTTTTCCAAAGTGGCTGCACCATTTTACATCCCCACTAGAAGTCTATGAGGATTTAGATTTCTCCACTCCTTGGCAACATTTATTATCTCACCTTTTTATTCTAGCCACCCTGGTAGGTATCTAATTTTGGTTTGATTTGCATTTCGCTGATGACTAATGATGTTGAACATCTTTTCAAGTGTTTATTGGCCTTTTAAATATATTCCTTGGAGAAATATCTCTTCAGATCCTTTGCCTATTTTTGAATTGGGTTGTTTGCCTTTTTGTTGTTGAGTCGTAGGAGTTCTTTATATATCCTGGATGCAAGGTCCTTAACAGATATATGATTTGCAAATATTTTCTCCCATTCTGTGAGTTGTCGTCACTTTCTTCATTCTTTTGCTTGTGGTTCTCCATCGGCCCAACACCATTTGTTGAAAAGACCATTCTTATTCCTATTGAAGAGTCTTGGCACCCTTGTCAAAAATCAGCTGATCACAGACACTAGGTTTATTTATGGACTCTCAGTTCTAATCTGTTAATCTATATGTCTTACTTATGCCACTACCACCTTCTCTTGATTACCATTTCTTTGTAATAAGTTTTGAAATAGGGAACTATGAGTCCTCCTACTTTATTCTTGTCCAAGATTGTTTTGGCCATTCTAGGTACCTTGCAATTCCATATGAACTTTAGAATCCATTTGTCAATTTCTACCAAGAAGTCAACTGAGATTCTTATAGGGATAGCATTGAATCTGTAGCTAATTTAAGGAATATTACTATCTTAAGTCCTTTCATCCATGAACATGGGATGTTTTCCCATTTATTTAGATCTACTTTAATTTCTTACAACAATGTTTTGTAGTTTTCAGGGTATAAGTTTTGGACTTCTTTTGTTTGGGAGCATCCAGGATGTGGAGGGGCCCCAGGAGTTATCAAGTCCATAGCTGAGCTGAGGCTGTACTTTCCTGAGCAGCCACCTGCAGATGCAGAGGTGGCCAGGCACACTGGCCAAGCCCCTCCCAGTGGGGGTCCTTTATCCACCCTCCATGGCTTGGTTTTGGCTCTACTCCCCTACTCTCATCTACCCTACCCCACTCCTGGCATTGGCCTCTAGGCTTCCTCAGTGCTGCTCATCTATGAATCTCTGCTAGCCTGAAGGTCCACAAGGTTCCTTGATGGTACCATCCTGACAGACACACACTCTCCTTGGGTCTGCAGCAGCTACCTTTGACACTTTTTGGAATGGAGAAGGGTAACTCCCCCCATCTTAATATACTCTGGTGAGGATCCTCCCACAGCTGAGCTGCTTGGGCCCAGGATCTCAGCTCAGTGAGATGATTCTTCCACCCTCATAGGTAGCCTTTACTGCCCACTGTGGGCGGGAGGTCAGGTCAGAAGCCTGGTGGGCCCAGAACCATGCTCTTTGCCTTCACAGACCCAACTGCTAGGCCAGCTCCAAGAACAGGGTCATCTCTCCAGGACCTTGGCTTCCTCTGCAATCTGACCTCTAAGGACACCCCACCCCACTTGTCAGACATGTCTGTGTGCATGTAAAGCCCAATAGTGGACAAGATGGGGCCTCAGTCTCCCCCAAAGAACAGAGGATGCTGGGTGACTCATGAAAGGAGTCATCTAGTATTACATATTAGAATCCCAGATTCTTACCCTTAAGGTAGTGTTGCACCAGGGCCACCTGGCTGACCCAGCTAACCATTCAACATCTGCTGTGTCCGATGTGAGCATTGGATGGGGCCCACATGAGTCCTAGGCACTCCACTTAGTGCCTGGCCTGGCACAACTGCTTTCCACGTGGACCAGGTGAAAGGTTGTATCTTCCCCAGGGAGAGGTGGCAGGAGCGGGGCTAGCTGTTAGCAGGACCAGTCCTTAAGGCCCACATAGAACTGGCCAAGCTACTGCACAGCTGAGTTGGGGAGTCTACATGTGACTGGCCCCCAGGCCTGGCAGGTGGACTTACAGTCTTGTCTGCCTTCTCCACCACCCCCTTCCCTTGTCCTCCACCCTCCTGCCGGCTTGGCCCTTGCTTTGAGTGACCCATGCTTAGTGCACACAGATAAACCAACCTTGTTAGAGCCTGGGTAGTGGCCCCCCTGGGTTCCCACAGTGTGGTAGCTTCTAGGTCCAGCTGCCCCAACTGGCCTATGAGCCTGTGAGGGTAGTGACCATGTAGGAAGGGGACTTCTTATACCTGACACAGAGCCTGCCCACCCTGATGATCCTGTCTAAGAGTCAGCATGTGGGGGGAAGGGTTGGGGAGCACCTGTAGAGGAGACGGGACAAAACAGAGGGGAACAGCGAGGCCTGAGGCCCTTAAATCCACAGAGAGGAAACCTGGGGGCTGAGAGGCCAAGTGCCCAGGTATTCTGCTCCAATCTTCGCACCTACTGTGTACTCAGAGCTTGGCTCATACTGGCTCAAATTTAAGCCCATTGAACAGAGGAGCAAACTGGGCAGAGATTACAGGCTGGTCAGTTTTTTGAAGAGCCAAGACCACTTATAATGACCTGTCAACCCAAGGCAGAGACAGGGCTGTGGGCTGGTCGGAGGGCTGGTCATAATTTCTCCTGCCCCAGAACCTGCTGATGGGGACTGAGGAAAGATAAAAGCAGGACTGCCCAGTGCTCACACACTGTAGACACAGCTACCACCAGACATCTGCAGTGTGGACATCATCCCAGCCCGTGGCCAGAGCTGGCCGGCCAGAGCATGAGTCAGATTCTGTGCCTGAGCCTTACCCTCTGCCTGATGGTGCAGACAGCCCCAAGTAAGCCCCCACCCCTTCCTGAGGGTGTCGGGCAAGAGGGACATGAGGGACACAGGGACAAGCCTCCAGCTCAACCTCTCCTGGGGGCAGTGGGGCAAGGGCATTTAGACAAGGTCTGGGTAGATGGGGGTTTGTTTCAGGGCTAATCCACTCACCAGCTGCGAGTCTGGGCATTTATTATTTTTATTTTTCCATTTTTATTTTTGGTGAGGGAGATTGGCCCTGAGCTAACATCTGTGCTTGTCTTCCTCTATTTTGTATGTGGGATGCCGCCACAGCACGGCTTGATGAGCGATGCATAGGTCCACGTCCGAGATCCGAACCAGCAAACCCTGGGCCACCCAAACAGAGTGTGTGAACTTTAACCACTACGCCACCGGGCTGGCCCCCAGGACATTTATATTTATATTTTTTATAAAATATATTTTATAATTCATATAATTTTATGTTTATAATTTATGATTTTATATTTATATTCTTTATAAAAATTATATAAAATTAGTGCTATATTAGTATATAATTTCTGTGTGTGTGTATATAAAACCAACAACCAGATCAAGATCTACAACATTTCCAGCACTCCACGTGCCCCTTCCCCGTCAATACCCTCAAAGTAACACTATTCTGACCTCTATCATAAATTAGTTTTGCCTACATAAATGCATTAAAACTTTTTTTTAATTTGAGGGAAACTTTGCTAAAATCACTTTTAGCATTTTGGCACGTTTTCTTTTAGTTTTTTTATTGCATATTTGCACATAGCTGTGATATTAGCATGTATACATGTTAATTTTATATTCTTCCTTTTTTTCACTTAAAATCTTATCATAAGCAGTTTATAACTTGAGTTTATAGTTATATTTACTTTGCCTGGTTCCCAGATATAAACGATGCTTCCAGTATTCACCATGGTACGTATGACTGTGGTCCGTAAAGGTCTTTGTTAGTGTGTTTCTGACTGTTTTCATAAGGGAGGGAACTGGAAGTGGACTTACTGAGTCAAAGCATGCAAACATTTCACAACTCTTCTACATCCTGCCAAACTATTTTCTCAAGATGTCGTATCAATTTATCTTCCACCAACAGTAGATGTGAATGTCGTTTTCACTGTATCTTTGCCAGAATTGGGTGCCATCATTTTTTAATTTATTAAGTAGAAGTTGTAAGTCTTGGTTTTAATTAGCATTTTATGACTACTACAGAGGTGGAATACTGTTTTCATGAGTGCTTACACGTGGCCTCCAGGGAGCAGAGCTGGGATGGAGACCACTCCACGGCAGCTCTTGTTCAGGGCTGTGAGGCACTCTGCCACAGGCTCAGGTGGCCCCCAGAGGCTGGGGTGGCAACAGTAAAACACCACTGTTTAGAGTAGAGCCCCAACGTGAGACACTCTGTGTGACCTTGAGCAAGTGATATAACCCCTTTGAGCTTCCGTTTCCACATTTGTATAGTGGGAAAATAATAACACTTACCCTCTAAGTTTTTAGGAGGATGAGGTGAGCTAGTACATTTAAAGTGTTTGGCACAGTGCCAGGCTATAACAGCGATCAGTAAATCGTAATTGTTGGCTCTTCAATCATAAGTGGACCCAAGATTCAGGGCAAATCCATGTAATGTGACAGACCTCAGCCTCCTGGCTCTGTCCTGTGAGACCTCAGGCTGGTCACTACCCCTTTCTGGGCGCTCCAGGCCTCCCCCAGCTCCTCCCAGGGCCAATAAGAAGCCCACCTGAGGGGACCATGTGAAAGGGCTTTGTAAACTGCAAAGGACTGCACACACAGAGGAGGCTTGAGATGGCCCCTCGCCCCCGGTGGCCGGCCTCCATGCCTGAAGGGCCACCATTACACCCACTCCTTTGTGCCCAGATATTGCTTATGTAAGACCTGCAGAGACCTGGGTACATGGGCAGAGAGGTATTTTTGGCCACCGGCAGTCAGGGGTGTGACGGTGTGCTTTATGACACCAATTCCAAATACCAGTTCCGTCAAAATCTCCTAGAGGGGTTTGTAAATCTAATTTCCTGATGCAACCCTGAGATTATCATTCAGAAAGTGGGGGTGGGGCCTAGGAATCAGCATTTTTGCAATGATTTCCCCAGATGGTTCTGATGCACAGCCCAGTTCAATAACACTTGGATCAGATTTGCTTTCTGTCACTTTGCAGAGTGAGGCCCAGAGGACCAGGGCACAGAACAATTCAGTTTTGTGAGGAAAGGGGAAAAAATGACCTGGGTGTTTCAGGAAGGGGCAACCGATGTGAGGCCTCAGCAACCCTTGACAACCAGAGTAGGGCAGGATGAGAGCTTATAAGAGGAAGAAGTGCCCATAGGCAGAGGATAAATTCACCTTGATCTAGTTCGTATCTATTCCAAGAGCTGGCTATGGTGTTCGTATGCTTCTAGTGTGTATGTGTGTTTGTGTGTGTGTGTATAATATGTGAATGTATGCCGCATATGGATACATTGTAACCCATGTATGACTGTACCTACATGCATATGTATGCATGTGGGCATGCTTTTTGCGTGTGTGTGAGGAAGATTAGCCCTGAGCTAACACCTGCTGCCATTCCTCTCTCTTTTTTTTTCTTTTGCTGAGGAAGACTGGCCCTGGGCTAACATCCATGCCCATCTTCCTCTACTTTATATGTGGGACACCTACCACAGCGTGGCTTGATGAGCGGTGTGTGGGTCCACGCCTAGGATCCGAACCTGAGAACCTCGGGCCGCTAGAGGTGGAGCACACAAACTTAACTACTACGTCACAGGGCCAGCCCCTATACGGGCGTGCTTTTAACTCTTCTATTTCTGCATGTTTCTTTGTGAATGAGCTGTGCTCATATATACCTAGGTATGTATAAATTTGCATGGACATGTAAGTATTAACACGAGTGTGTATATGAATGAGATTGCATACATACATGTGATTTCTTCCCGGAAATATGCCAGGCAAATGTTAGCAGCAAGAAAGAGGTATAGTCATATCAATATCAGACAAACAGAAAACAAAATAAACGACACACTCATTGACATTAAATGATACATTAAAGGACACAAAGAAAAATAATTCATATAACAGACATGAACTTTTATGTACCTACCAACACAGCTTTGAAATCTTAAATCAAATAATGAGAGAGAAAAATACTGAGAGAAACACAGAAAAAGTGGACAAATACACAACTGTTGTGAAAGCTTCAAGCTGCTGCTGGTGTCATGGCAGATGGGTCTGGGTCTTTTCAGTGGCTAGGGTGACCCTTCTCCTCTTTTCCTGGGTGCCCTGCACACCAAGGAGCCTGTAGTGGTTACCAAATATGAGACCCTCCAAGGAAAGCAGATGCACATGGGGAAGACACCCGTCAATGTCTTCCTAGGAGTCCCCATCTCCACACTTCCTGTAGGTGCCCACAATTTCACTGCCCTGCACCCTCCAGAGCCCTGGGAAGGAATCAGAGATGCCACCACCCAAGCCCCTGCATAAGAGCCAGAGGACTGTCAGCTATGAAGTGGGCAGATCCTAGGGAGGGTGGTGGACCTATGCCTGCCTCTGGGCCGGAGTTTGAACAACTCACTGAAAAGAGTGTACTGTGTGACCACAGGCAGGCCTGGGGCCCATTCTGGGCCTCAGTTTCGAAACCTATATAATGAGGTGATTGGTCCAGATGTTGTTTAAGGTACTGATAATACTGTTCTTGGTTCCCCCATGTGAGAGCTCCAGGCAAGGAGGAGGTGCTCACTGACTGTGCCCCCAGGACCTGCTGCGGAGCTGAGTTTTCCTGAATGAGCAGTGCTTACCACACAAACACACACACACACACACACACACACACACACACACAGCGATCCCTGAGCTCTTCCCTCTCCCTTGGGGCTTGAGCCCAAAGTCAAGCCCACATGGCACCACCAGCCCTCTTCTAAGCTCCGAGACAGGGAAGGCATGGGTGCAGTTTCAGTTTTAATGTCCCAGGGTCTTAATGCAACCTCTAGCTGGGCTCAAGCTCTGAGTCACATGAGCATGTTGGGACAATTACTGCCCTTTGAAGCACTGGGCTTGGCAGTTTACCCAGTATAAGTGTATTTACTGTTTACTCAGACCATTGAGTAACCTATTGTCCAGAACATTCTGTTGCTATCATTAACGATGTTCAGCATCAGCTGGATAAAGCAATGGATTTAGAAAAATGTCTACTGTGAGAACCTGGGTGTCAGCTGATAAAAAAAGATACAACCACCATCATGGATGTCTAGTTGTTAAGAACAGGGTCTAAGAACATGTTAGAATTCCAGTCCTCACTTACTGGAACATGGAATGTTAGTTGTTAGAACACTGGCCATCACTGAGAGAAGCCCAGGCATTCTGAACATTCTATGATTATTTGGAACCCCATGGATCAGGTGATAGAACATGGAACGACCATTGTTAGAACTCTAAGGATCAGGGATTTAGAGATTGGGATGCCCATTGCACAGAAGTCTGGGTGTCAGTTGTTGGAACAGTGGCCATGAGCTGTCAGACAATGGCTGTTTGGAACACACAGTGTCAGGTGTAAGGATCTGTGGATGGCTTACAACAGACTGTGGGGTAGTGGTTAAGTGGGGAGGAGGGAGAGAGGAAGCTGTTATAGATATGATGGCTTCAACCAGGGTGGTTACTTACAGTGGAGGTGGTGGGAGTGGTCAGACTCCAAATTTATTTTGAAGGTAAAATTGACAGGATTTGCTGGAGAATTGGACGCGAGTCAGGAGGGAAGAAGAGTAATCAGCGGTAATGACTAGTTTGGGGCCAGAGCAGCAAGGGGACTAGGGGTACCATTTACTGAAATGGAGAAGACTGGGGCAAGAGCAGGTTTGGGCAAAACAAGAGCTCATCTTGAGGCATGTTAAGTTTGAGGTGTCTGATAGATGTCCATTAGGAGATATAGGGTAGGTGGTTTGGATAAAGGGAGCTGTAGGCAGACTGGCCATCAGCATGTCAATGGTGTGAAGCCCTAGGCCTGGATGAGAACAACTCAGGAGAGGGAACAGTCAGAATGAAAAGAACACTGAGGGTTGCGGCCTGGGAGAAGAGAAGGAGTCACCAATGAGATGGCAGGAAAGTCAGGAGAGTGAGGTGTTACAGAAGCCTAGAGAAGGAAAGCTGTTCAAGAAAGGGACTGGTGTCAACCACGTAGAGGGCTGCCAGGGTAAGCAAGACGATGACAGAGATTTAGCAAGATGGAGGTCATTGGTGACCTTGATGGGAATGGCTTCGGTGGTGGGATGGGGACAGATACCTCAGCTGCTCATAACCCGAGTTCTTGGCTATAAGAGTCCTGGTCTTCCTGGTGGGATGTTGGATGTGGTTTATTAGACAGCATCCTAACACCAATATTAGCTGCTACCGAGAAGTCAAGCAAGGAAGACCAAAGACAATCTGTAGAGGTAGAGATGAGCAGCCTGCTGGTGACCTTAGAGAGGCTGGTGGGGGTGGGAGGAAAGACAACAACCTGTTGAAAAGTTTGGCCTTGTGGGGAAGGAAGAGAGATAGGATAGTTGCTGGAGAAGGAGGGTGGTGGAGGGTAGGTTTGGAGCAAGGCATATTGAGTGCTGCTGGGAAGGACTGAAGGGGAGCTGGTGATGCTCTGGGGTTGGGGAAGCAGGAGTGAATTATACACACACACACACACACACACACACACACACAGAAGACAGGCTGGGACAAGAGGAAAAGGGGATAGAGGAATAGGCAGACAGGGCTTCCTGTATCCAGTCAAATGGACCCAGCCCCAACTGTGACAAGAATAGCCACCCTTGCGGCTGGGCCTGCAGGGAAGAATGGTGAGGTGGCTAGACCGCCCAGCTCCATAAGCACACCAGATGTCCAACAGTACAAGGCATTGGGCTGGGTGCCAGGTCTCAGATAAATCCACCTCCATCCCTGCCCTTGGGGAGAAAAACAACCCATCAAAATAACTCCAACCCACTACTATAGTCACAGAGGGGAAAGTGCCCAGCAGAGGGGGCACCACTTGAACTGGACCTTAAACACGGGCGGGACTTTGCCAAGCAGAGGAGAAGGCATTTAGCAGAGAAGACAGAGACACAGGGGCTTGGAGGTGGGAGGCAAGGGGTCACGTGTATCTGGAGCAAAGAGTGGCTGGGAAGGAGATGATGAGATGGAAAGGAGGGCCTGGGTCAGTGTGGGTGAATCTAAACTTTATCCTGAGGGCAAGGGGAGCCAGGGAAGGTTTTAAGGAGGGGAGTAACATGGTCGGATTTGTGTTTTCTACCAATCCCTCCTGCCAGAGTGTGCAGGATGAGTTGGAGGGGATGTGAAGAGGCTGGGGCAGTGTTCTGGTCAGAGGTGGTGATGGCATTCATGGGGCAGAGCCCTGGGATGGAGGAAGGGGGCCTATTCAAGAGCTGTTTGGGAGGCAGAACAGAGACTGAAGGGAGGATGGGGCAGGAAAGAAAGGGAGGTGCCCAGGACGCCCAGGTTTCTGGCTTGACAGCACCAACAGGGTCTCCAACAGGAGCAGGCAGACCCATGGGGCAAGGGGCAAGGTGGGGAGCGGAAGAATAGGGGGGTGGGGGTGGGAGGGTGAATCCTGGGGAAGCTAATCTACCTCCCATCCCTGGACCATAACGCTAGTGGAGGCTGCTTGGACACACACACACACACAGGCTGCCTGGATTTTGCTTTAGGTTCTATTCCCTCACTGTGCAACCTGGGTTGAAACCATTCTCCCCAATATCGCCGCCACGCTGGGCCCCAACTCACATCGTGCCCGCAGGTGCTTCAGGGGTCCTGGGGGCAGATCACCTCCTTGTACGTCAACACGCAGAAACAGTACAAGTGGCTGCGCTTCAGTGAGGACTGTCTGTACCTGAACGTGTACGCGCCAGTGCACGCGCGTGGGGACTCTCCGCTGCCGGTGAGTATTTAATCTTCAACCATGCGCCATCCCACTCAGGCACCCCACTGCCCCGCTCAGGCCTCGGCCTTCCCAGGAGGCACCTTCCTCACGGGCTCATCTTCCACGCACGATGGCTTCGAATTGGCGGCCCCCGAGCAAGTGGTGCTCATGCTTCTGCAGTCCAGGCTCGGCGTCCTGGGCTTCCTGAGGTGGGCGGGGCCGGGGACCAGGGCGGGTTCTCCTCTGGACCTGGGAGGAGGGAGTACAGGATGGAGGGAGAGGGACGTGGTCTATGGGGGCGAGACCACGTGGCAGGGGCGGAGCCTAACGTTCGGTGGAAGGGGCGGACGCTCGATACCGCCTCAATGGGGCGGGGCCTAACTCTAAGGAAGATGATGCTGTCGCGAGACCAGGTCTCTCGGGGCCGAGCGGTGTGGCGCGGGAGCCCTCAGCACTTAGGCGTCGAGGCTCGGGACCCTGATCATGAGCCCCGGCGTTCCGGCATGGGCGACATCCAGGCCCGCGGGAACTGGGCCCTGCTGGACCAGGTTGCGGCTCTGTGCTGGGTGCAGAAAAGCATCGCAGCCTTTGGCGGAGACGCAGGCTGTGTGACCCTGTTTGGCCAGTCATCAGGGGCCATGTGCATCTCGGGACTGATGAGTGCGGTGCCCTGATAGGCCCAGCACAGACGCAGGACGGCATGTTCCCACGAGTGCATCCTCCACTGCACAGACACACATGCAGATTTCCGTATACTGGAACCTGCCGGTCCACAGACCTGCCTACCCCTGCCAAGGGAACCGCCCCTCAGAGCCAAGGATGTCTGCTCCATTCAGGAGTAGCACTGATGAGAAAACCAAGCCAGCGCCAGGGAGGGCAATGATGAGAGTAGGGATACTTAGCCAATCTAGTGGGCCAGAGAGATCGTCCAGCACCTCCTGCCTCCCCACATTCCCACAGAGTTCTATCCCCTAAACAGAGCTCACTAACTGCTCTCTGAGCAGGGCTGGGGCCACAGACCAAGCTGGGAGTCAAGGGCCTGGAGTGTAAGGTCAGGTGCCCTGTGAGGGACACATGGCTGGGAAGTGAGCAGGGACCACATCCCACAGGGCCTTGTGGGCCACAGCAAAAACACTCAAACACTTGAGCAACTTTCTGTTTGCCAGGCACTCTTCTAAACACCTTACATTTATTCATTCTTTAATTCCCTCAACAATCCAAAAAGAGAAATATTCCCTTTCTACATTCCACAAAAAGAGAAGTTTTCTCCATTCTACAGATGAAAGAAAGTGAGGCCCAGAGAAGTTAAGCAACTTTATCCAAAGTGCACCAGAGAGCAGAGAAAGAATGTAAGCAGGGAAGTGACACAATCGGATGTGCAATTAGAAAGATGGCAAAGACTGCTGGAACTGGGCTAGAAAGAAGCAGGAGCAGAAGTTTGAAGACCAACTGGGAGCAGGGATGGGGTATATCTAATGGGGGCTGGTTCCAAAATAGGTGTAGGAAGGATAGAGAGTAGAAAATGGTTGCAGAGTGTTGCAGGAGGCCAAATGGACAGGACTGGGGCAGCTGGGTGGGAGGGTGAGCAAAGGAGATAGGAAGGCCCCTGGGACTGAGTGGATGATGTGGGGTAAGGGATGCCGCCCAGATGGGGACTGGCTGGAGCAAGTTTGGGGCACAAGAAGTCTGAGGTACCCAAGGGACAATATGGGGAGCACAGATACAGTTGTTGCCTCAACTTGGGCAGTGGAGAAAGGCTAAGGTCAGCACAGGTAACTGGGGCCGTAGAAACCATAGGATCCCCCCCGCCCATTTCTAGCCCAGCAGTAGAGGGAGGCCCTTTCCTACACCAGCAGAACCCCTCCCACAACCTCAGATCCCCTCTGAGACTCCTGGGGCTCATTGCACAGACCAGGATATGGAGGCCCAGAAGCAGGAAGGCACCGACTCTAGGTCTAGGACTCCAACCCAGGCTTCCTGACTCCCTCCTAGCTGCCTGCCCTCTCTGGGCCCCTTCAGGCTGCCCACTCATGGCCAGACAGGCACCCAAAACTGCTCAAGTGGCCCCTACTTGCGCATCTCGTGGGTGCCATGCTCCCCACCCTGCAGATGATGTCACTCCTAGCCTGAGGTCTCTTCCATCGGGCCATTTCCCAGAGTGCACTGCAGTACTCAGAGTCTTCATCACTTCTGACTCGCTGAAGGTGGCCAAGATGGGTGGCTCCTCTCCCCCAGGGCTCAGCAAGGAGGGGCAAGATGGGGGCACCCCTAAGCACCTCTTCTCTCCACAGAAGGTTGCCTGCCTGGTAGGCTGCAACCACAAGAGCACATGGATTCTGGTAGACTGTCTGAGGGCGCAATCAGGGGCTGAGGTGATGCGGGTGTCCAAGAAGATGGTAGATAGAACTTCCTTCCAGCTCTCTGACCTGGCTGCCTGCATGCCACCCTCCTGACCTGGTCCCCAGCTGCCCCAGGGACCCTGTCTCAGGAGTACACTGGGGAGACTTCCTTTAACTCTAGTCCCCTCCTCTCCCCCCAGAGATTCTTCCACCTGAACTCCCAGGAAGACCCTCAAGAGGTGAGCAGGCACCATTCTGTAATTTGAACAGAAGGTATTTATTGAACACCTACTGTGTGCCAGACACTCAGGATACTTAGTCAACTGTTCAGGCCAAGATTACTTCCCTAGTGGGGCTGATGTTCCAATGAGGAGAGACAATAAACATTTAAAATAATAAGTTATTCACCTTCTGAGAAGGTGATAAGTTAATAGCAACAAATGGAGCAGGGTAAGGAAGTCAGGCATTTTGGGAGGGGTAGAATTTTAAATAGAGGGAACAGAGAAGGCTTCATTGAGAAGGTGACATTTAGCAAAGATTTTCAAGAGGTGAAAGAGTGAGGTATGTGGATACCTGGAGGCAAGCATCCCAAGTCTGAGTAGCCTGGTCCTGCCCGTTACTGGTCCTCTCCCACACCTGCCCTCCCATGGGTCACTGAGCCCCAGCTCTTCCCAAAGTGCCTATGGCTAGAACAGTCTCTGGAGGGGAACCTGCTGAGCTGGGCACCCTAGGCTGCAGGGATCCTGGGAGGATATGTGGGAGGGCTGGCTGGACACCCCCTTGCCTTGTAGATCATGTGGTTCATGCGCCCCATGGTAGACAGTGTGGTGTTCTCAGATGACCCTGTGGTGCTCCTGATCCAGGGGCAGGTTGCATCTGTGTCCTGCCTTCTGAGTGTCAACAACCTGGAGTTCAGTTGGCTTTTGCCTTTTGTAAGTGAATTAGAGGGGTGCCCACCACACTGCGAGGAGCAGAGGATGCCTCTTGGGTAGTCCTGGGCATCAGGTAAGATTCTATTGGCCCCTCTGGGGATGCCCAAGTGCTTGGGAGCCTCCTGCAGTCCCTGAGCAGTGACAGCTGGCCAGGAATTATGGGAAGGAGAAGAGAAGTGTGGCCTCTTGGAGGTTGGGGGGCCCCAAATCTTCAGATCATGATTTGGCTGGGTCATCATGTCCATTCTTTAGCCTCCAGGTGGCTGCAAATTCTGGGACCCTCCCTTGCTCCTGGGTCAGGATAGATGCCCTAGCTCGGGAGGCACCCTCCCAGCCCCCACTTCAACTTTGACCCAGGTGGTAGTGATGGGCAGATTCGGAGCAGGAGGACAGGAAATGGTCATGGGCCCTTCCTGGGCTGCGTGCTCTGACAACTCACCATTTAGATGGACAGAGCCTTGGGCCTGGTGTATCCCTGGCTGGAATCCCTCCTGATGTTTGGGCCTGGCACATGCCTAGGTCTTTGTCTTGTGGGCAGATCATGAAGTTCCCACTAAACTAATGCATGGTGAAAAAAGAAACCATCACCAAGCTGCTCTGGAGTACCGGTCCCCTGTTGGCAAGAGGCCACACTCTTAGGAGTGCTCAGTTTGGTTAGATAAGGCTAACCTCCTCTCTATCTATCTATCTATCTATCTACCTACCTATCTATCTATTTATACATACCTAGTAGCTACTGTTCACTTCACAAACGACTCCCAGCCAGGATAGAAGTCTTTCTTGGGGGGCTTGGGGTTTGGCGTGGGATCAGATGATTGCTGGTGGTTAAGGCCCCCTGGCCTCAGGGTCGTGGCAGGCAGTTCTCATGTAGCAAAAACTCAGGGGTAAAAATTAGCAAAGAAGGAGACTTTCCCAGAAGCTCCACTTTCTCCCTCTTCCCCAAGGCCAAAAACTCCTGGGGGTGCTGAGCCTGGGTCCAAGTCACTGGTGTGCCCACCTCTGGCCCAGCTGGCACCCCAGGATGGGTATAGCTTCCCCACCCAGGATATCACAAAGGAGCGGTTACCACTGGTGGTGGAGGAAGACCTGGGTGATATGGATGACCACAACTGGAAGATGTTATAAAACCATGTGATGGGGCCGGCCCCGTGGCTTAGCGGTTAAGTGTGCGCACTCTGATACTGGTGGCCCAGGTTCGGATCCCGGGCGCACACCGACGCGCCACTTTTCCGACCATGCTGAGGCCGCGTCCCACATACAGCAACTAGAAGGATGTGCAACTATGACATACAACTATCTACTGGGGCTTTGGAGGAAAAATAAAAAATAAAAAAAAAAGAAAGAAACATGTGACGGACCTGGCTGGGGACAGGTGTACTCCACGCTGCAGGCTGCCTGCTAACACTGCAGTATGGGAGTCCCCAAGAATGGCTACACTCTGTCCGCTCATGCTGCTTACCATCTGCTCACCCACCCTCTCTGTATCCCTGGGCTGGTGTGGGGTTGCAAGATGCCATAGAGGTGGCAGTGTGCTGTCAACTTTGAAAGAAGAGGGGCTCTTCCTTAGTTAGGGATGAGGAGGGCAGGGCAAGGCCAGCCTAGGGTGGTGAGGGCAGGCTTCCTGGCTGAGAGGACAGGCTTATGGGCACCTTGGAGATTCTGCCCAGGCTGACTGGGGCTTGGGGAACATGTGAGTGAGAGGTCAAAGACTAGGCTGGAGAGGATAGACACTGAAGAACATTAAATGCCAAGCCAAGAGAGGAAAGGTTCAGAAGAGGGAAGAGGAAGTCTTCCATGATCCATGTCACAATCCCGTGAATTAAGTTTTAGCATCTGCAGTCTGCAGATGAGGAATTGCAGCTCAGAGATGTTGAGCAACTTGCCCCAGTCAGGTAGCCAATGAGTAGTGCAGACAGGATTCAAATCTGCTCCCTTGATTCTGAAGCCCAAGCTCTTTTCCCTGCCTCATGCAGGTGAGTGGGATACCTGGGGTGGATGAGAAGCCCAGGCCGAGACTTTTCCTGCAGCCCTTCTCAGTTTCCCTGTTCATAGGTGCCTGCTTCCTTCTCTACCTGTATGTGTTTGAGCCCCACACTTCCACCAATATCATTATCAAACCCTGCACTGATGGGGCAGACCATGGGGATGAGATCTGCTTCATCTTCAGGAGTCCCTTCTCCAAAGTTGCTAAGGCCCCACCTGACACCCCCCACTGGGTGTCTGGTCTCTCCACCTTTGTATTTGGACCCACCTCTCCATTGGCTGACCACAGGGAGCTAGCCAGTTTCTAGTCTGGAATGCTGTCCCAAAGGACAGCCTCCCAGCCTGGAGGGAATTGTGGAAGGAGCAGGGTGGGATATCAGCACCCCATGCTCTGCTCCAAATGCCACATCCCATTCTGCCCTGAGACCATTCCACAGGTGAGGAGAAGGTGCTGAGCCTCCAGATGATGAAATACTGAGCCAACTTTGCCTGCACAGCATGAGTCTGGCCCACCACCACATCTGGGCAGTCTTCCTGCCCAGCGCTAGACCCAATGGCCAGCTGCTTCAGATATTTGTCTCTGCGTATCCTATAGGAAATGTACGACCAGCCCAAGCAGAATGCCCTTTCTCCCTCACCTTTCCTCAGTCAGTCACCAGGTCCTAAATGTCCCAAGCATGTGTCCCTCCCTGTCCCATGACCACACTCTTCATTCACTCAAGCATTCAACAGTTGTTCCCAATGCTTTTTTTTGCCCAGCCCAATACTGCGAGCTGGAATTCAAGAATATCACAGACATGACCCCCATTCTCTAGCGGCTCATTCGTGTTTAATTAAAACATTAAATTGCTGTAGTGGGGGAGGAGAGGGCACTTTGAGGGCATAGAGGAAGTGTGTGACCGAGCCTGGGTGGGCAGGGGTGGCTTCCTGGCAGAGGTGACATCTGAGCTGAGCTTTGGCTAGCCTTGTGATTGGTTTTCCATCTCCACATTCTCTCTCCTTTCTACCCATCCTCCTTATGACACTCAAGAGGTCTCTCTGGAATATCATCTGACCAAGTCACTCACCTGCTTAAAACTCTTCATGGCTTCCCTCTGCCCCCAGGATAAAGTCCCAACCCCTAGGCCTGGCACAAAGATCTTCAAAATCTTTCCTCTGTCATCTTCTCTCCACTTCCATCTTCTCTCCACCTTCCCTCTTCACACACCCCATGTTTTTACCCAACCCTATACTTGTGCTTCCTCCAAAAGCCCTGGTCTTTCATACCTCCAACCCTTTGCACATACCATTCCCTCTGCCTGGAAGGCCCTCGCTACTACACACTTTCTTTTTCTTTGTTAAAGATCTATTTAAATACCTTCTTTCTAAAGCCTTCTTGTCCCCAACTCCCAAAGGGAAAGTGAATGAGGGAAGGCTAAGAGAAAGAGGCAGAGTGAAGAGGAGCATGAATAATCCTCTCTCCTTCCTCCTCCTGAGCAGAAACCCCACTGATGAGAAGCTCCCCTACTGGCCATGCTACAGCCAGAAGTACCTGCAGCTGGATTTCACCACAAAGGTGGGTGTGAAGCTCAAGGAGGAGAAGATGGTCTTTTGGATGAGGCTGTGCCAGCATTAAGGACCTGAGAAGCAGAGGCACTTCTGAGGGTGGCTTTGCGGGAGGGAGCCCAAGGGGTTATCCCAGCCCCTAGGCCTTGGGGAACCTGGCCATGGACACATCAGAGACAAAAGTCCTTCTCTCCCATATCTAGGACCTGCAGAGGCTCCCTACTACCTCCAGGCCAGAGCCAGAGCCTCAGACTGTTGTTCGGGGCCCTGCACCATGCTCTTCAGCCTGACACCCCTTGATGCCCACCTATCTCACTGATCCATCAGGTTAGGCCAGGCCTTTTCACTGTCATGCTTTGCCCAGCTACCCAGCCTCAGGACAAGCCTTTCTCTCCCATCTCCAAATCCTCCCACCCTTCAAGGTCTATTTGGTGGTTTTTTTTTTTTTTCGAGGAAGATCGGCCCTGAGCTAACATCCATGCTAATCCTCCTCTTTTTGCTGAGGAAGACGGGCTCTGAGCTAACATCTACTGCCAATCCTCTTCCTTTTTTTTTCCCCAAAGCCCCAGTAGATAGTTGTATGTCATAGCTGCACATCCTTCTAGTTGCTGTATGTGGGACGTGGCCTCAGCATGGCTGGAGAAGCGGTGCGTCAGTGCGCGCCCGGGATCCGAACCCGGGCCGCCAGTAGCGGAGCGCGCGCACTTAACCGCTAAGCCACGGGGCCGGCCCTCAAAGTCTATTTGAAACCACTTCTTATGGGAAGTCCACCTAGACTGCCACTGCCCCATTATCACACTTGTCATTTACCATTCATCCTGCTCACCCTTGTGCCCGTTCACATTGGCCTGAGGCCTTGGGCAGGTTATTTGTTACATGGAGTGAAGTTTTGATAGCTTGGGATCTTCTCCCCCTTCCATACTCATCTCCCCTAGAGCCCCTCCAAAGCCTGGACATAGGGGTGTTCCTCAATAAAAACATATTGACTTGACCAGAATTTCTCCATCTGTAAAACGGTTGGGTGAAGTGGATGGTATCTCCATTTGAGCCCTTAGAGGAAGGGAGTGTTGCTGCCTGCTCCTTGTTGGGCTGAGCCTGCTATGCTACTCTCAGTCAACGGGGGGCTGCAGCAAAGTTGCCTGGGTTGCAGAACACTTGGCTTTTTTCCTCATTGTCTCAAGGGCATCCCTCAAGACATCCACACTCCATGCTCACTTGCCCATCAGTTTAGGTCTTGGACTAAGACTCCTCACTCTCTGGCCTCTCTGGCAACCTGACCTGTGCATACCACAGCCTGTCCCACAGGTGTTTTGTTTTGTTTTGTTTTTTGTGGGTTTTTTGGTGGTAAAATACATATAACATAAAACTTATCATTTTAACCATATTTAAGTGTCCAGTTCAGTGGATTAAGTATGTTCACATTCCTTGTGTAACTATCACCACCATCCATCTCCAGAACTTTTTCATTATCCCAAACTGAAACTCTATATCCATTAAACAATAACTCCCTATTCCCACTTATCCCCAAACCCTGGGACCCCCTATTCCACTTTCTATCCTATGAATTTGACTATTCCAGGGACCTCATAAAGTGGAATCATACAATATTTGTCCTTTCATGTCTGGCTTATTTCACTCAGCATAATGTCTTCAAGGATCATCCATGTTGTAGCATATGTCAGAATTTCCTTCCCTTTTAGGACTGAATAATATTCCATTGTATGTGCATACCACATTTTGTTTATCATTTATCTGTTGATGAACATTTGGGTTGTTTCCACCTTTTGGTTCTTGTGAATAATGTTATGAACATCACTGTAGTGTCCCACAGATTTTATGTCCCAAACTACAATGTTGATTCAGTTTTTTATTCCTAGGAGTTCCTGAATCTCTGAGATAACTGGAGGCTGCAGAGACCTGTGGGGTGAGGGGCACCCAATCCTCCATACCCCAGCATCTAAGCCCCAAAAGCAAAAGGATGGTTGGAGGAGGGGGAAAAGCCCATTTCAAGCGAGCATTTATCTTCACAACAACCCTGTCACATGGATTTTATTACCCTATTTTACAGATAAGGAAACTGAGGCACAAGACATAAAATGCCTTGCTCAAGGTCATGACCTATCGGTGACAGAGCAGGAATTTTATCCAGGCCTGTCTGACTCACCCTGCCACCTCCATCCAGACCTGGAGCAATCCCTGAGGGAGGGTGGCCCCCAGAGGACGTGTGGCAGCTCCACTCTCAGTGGAGGCATAGCCAGCAGAACATCCTTGCCCACCTCAAACCAAGAGACAGGCAACCAAATAGACACTCAGTGGGAACCTGAGTGAAGGCTAGGAGCTCAGCCCCCTGAAGGGTGGTCCTGGGCAACCTATGCAGACAGCAGGGGCTGAGGTCTAGCTGGGCTTAGTTCATCCCAGTGCCTATAGGACATCCTGACCCGGAGGTCCAGAGGTTTGACTCCAGGCTGGTCCAGGCCTGCTGCTGAGGGTCCCTCAGTTCTTCCCCTCCTCAGGCTCTCTCACACAGGTCGGGGGAAGGAGGAACCTTCTCCAAACAGCCACCCACCCAGAGGCTATCCTCTCCCAAATCAGAGGGAGTAGACTGAGCAGGAGCCAGGGCTCAGTCAGGGCCCAGCTGGGCTGCAGCAGATGCCAGGATCATAAAAGGACTCTCAGGGAAACCCGAGGACCTTCTCTAAGAATTCGAGCCTGGAACAACTTCGGTGGGCAGCATGGGTGATGGGCTAGCCCCGGGTTTCCCACAGCCCCTGCCCCATACCCTCCTCATCCGGCTTAGGAAGGTCCCCCTCTTCCTGTCTGCTCGTCCCAGGGGGGGCACTGCTGGATTGGGGGAGGAGAGGGCTACCTATAGGGCCCTGTCTCCTCCCTGTCTTCCTGTCTGCACAGGGGTCCTCCCACGGCCACCCAGAGTCTTTCCTAAAGCCCTCGTCAGGCCCCAGCCCACAGGGAGCGGTTCTCAGAACTGACTGTATCTTGATGAAGTCCCCAGGACACTTCTGTGGCTGTTCCCCAGGTTTACCCCAGGTTGCCAGGGCCGCCAGGAGGACGAAGGCGCACCGGTGCAAACCTGGAGTAGAAACAGAGCGCACATGCGCCTCCTGCGGGCCCCCGCGGCTCAGCCCTGGCTGAGCCTGACACCCCGCTCCGGAAGCGGTGCCCCTTCCTTTCTTCCAACACCCCGCCAGACCCCCACCCCCTGAAGCAGCAATTACTGGCTAAGGCGGCTGGGGAAGGGCCAATTAGCGCGGGAGACGCGGCCCCTCCACGGTGCCCGCGCTGACCGCAGTCCCCGCAGCGCCGCCGCCGCCGCCTCCGGCCCCCAGGCTCCCGCCGACAGCGCCGGCTGCCTGGGAGCCCCCTGGGACGCGCCGTCCGGCCTCCCGCCAACTGCAGTGATGGATCCAGTCGCCTGGCGCAGGGCCAGAGCCCAGGCGGACGCAAGGGCGCCAGAGCTGAAAGTCGCCGCCGCTGGGTGGTGGGGGCGAGCAGGCTGGGGCCTCCCTCCCTGCGAGGGCTCCTACACCCCCGACGGCCTGTGCCCCGGCGCCCGCGATCAGTCGCCGGGCGGGCGGACCGGCTGCAGCAGGCGCGGTGGGGGCGGGGCGGCCCCGGTCTCAAGCTGCCGACTGAGGCGGTCTAGGCAGGGGCGGGCTCTGCTCCAGCCCTCTTGCGACCTCGTTGTCCTGGCTTTGGGACCTCCAAGGCTGGGCTTGGGCTGGCGGCGCCCAGAGCATTCCCTTACTGGTGGCCGTGGCACGGCCTGGCTTTAGAAACCCTCGGCCCGTGCTGGATCGTGCCCCTCTCTGCAGGGAGGTGGGCAGGAGGGTGTGTGGGCAGCACAGGGCCACGGACGGACGCTCATCACTCATGAGTGAATGCATGGACTTCCTTCCCTGGGTCCCTGCACTGCACAAACTGACTGGCCCACCTGTAGGCTCTGGGATACCTAAGGGGGTCAGTGCTGCCCTCCAGAAGCCCACAGGCTGCGAGAGCAGAGGCTCCAGGGACTGGGCTGGGACCTCAAGCTAATAGAAGCTTTGAGGCATCAGGTAAAGGAAAGAGGGACTGGAAGAGGGAGCAGTGGGGAGCAGGCACCACCACTTCAACTGGGTCCCCTTCCCCAACTGACCACTTTCCAACCCAAGCTGGACACACTGGGGCCCTATAGTGAGCAACAAGGTGGGCCTGTTCTCAGGACATGCTCTGGATGAGGCTGAAGTTTCTAGAAGGGAAGAAGCAGTCGGGGAGGGTTCAGTAGGAAGGTCCACAAATGGGGTTGACCAAAGAGATCTGCTGCTCAATACTTCTTCTGTTTCTCCCATCCACATCCCCCCATCAGTGCTAAGGCCCTGATCAGTGCTGGATGAGTGGAGTGGGGTTCAGAGTGGCCTTTTCTCTGTGCCCTCTCTCTGCCCCCAACCCTCGCAGTTCTGGCCTTGGTAGGGAAGGGCTAGGGCTTGCTGTGTGCTATAGAACCTCACTCAGGCCCTGTTGGGCCAGACTTTCTGTGAGAGAGAGGGATCACTTCTCTAAAGAAGCGAAAACTCCCCTTTCCATGTACCAAAGTCATTAACTGTGTGGAGAGGGAGAGAGCGCCTGTGAGAAATTGCGGTGTGGGGACTAAGTGAGGAAGAGACACAGTGGCAAAGACACCAACTTGAGTCTTTCATGGAATGAGGTGAAAGTGTATTAAATCAAAGCATACGGAAAGGAACAGAGATCGATGAAAGAGACAGTGGAATGATCTGCCAAAAGAATCAGAGAGTGGAGGAAGAAAGAGAAGTAAGTGGACACACAGCCAGACAGACAAATGGACAAAGAGCCAGGGCAGTGCTGGGGGTTGTTCAGGCTGGAAGAGGGCACTCAGAAGGTGGCAGTAGGCAGGGATCTGTTTCTTATCCCAGTTGTCTGACCACTGAGACCCCCCAACCAGGGGAAGGATGATAGAAAGGGTCAGCTGGAAAGGCTGTAGGAGCACAGAGGAGATGATGACCTAACTTAGGCTGGGATGGGGTCAGAGAAGGCTTCCCGGAGGAGCGTCTGAAATGA